CTGCAACGCGACTGCAGCAACTCCCCGGCCGAAATTGCGATCATTGCATTACGATAATTTATACACGCGAAGAAACGCCCCATATATAGTATATAAGTATATATTGCGCGTTCTAGCTTGAACTCTGCCATTGTGCGATGCTGAATAACCGAGGGATAATCGTGCTCTTATTATATACGTATACGTAGAAATAAAAAAGCTATAGGTCTCTTGTCTCTGTTTGGGAAAAATAATGGGCTTGACGTCTTTTGTGGACGACAAAAGTAGAAGATTATACGTGAAAACGAGTGTGTGTGTGTGTGTGTGTCTTACAGCACACTATAAAAAAAACGCGCGGCACGACTCGTTGCTTCGATTCGGTGAGATCGCGAGATCCGCTTCAGCTGCCGCGCGTTGGTCGCCGCAAACTCACGTTGTACACTTGATATATTATTAAAACGAGGCAGGACCCTTACGTCCTCGTGCGAGGCTCTAGTTCTCTCTAGCTCAACGGGACTTGTGTACGGGCGACAGAATTTTTCTCTCCAGCTTTCTTCGAGATTTCAATGCTCGATGTACATGAAACACAAATATTCGCGTTCCTTCTGTAACACACGAATGAAATTGTCGTGGATAGCTGCGTAATGCCGTTGCTGTGCGTAAACTCGTACACGTCGCGTACTTTACGCAGGAAAAAAAGTACGTACGAATCCTACACGCATTTTATTCGTCACAAAATCATTCGCTCGAATGACGCGGACACTGACTGACGTATGCCTCATGCGACGAAGAAGAAGAAGAACAAGAAGAACATTTCCTGCTCATTTTTTCCACATTCGCACGCGTGTGTGTGTGTATTGAATTATATTCGAAAACGATGAACGCCATCGGATGATTGTATTTTACGCACCGATGCGCTATTGTGCGCGCCTGTTGCGTAGCGATTGTCACCCCTTGTCTTGTCAACTTCAAAGGTTCGTTCTTAAGGAATTTAATTTACTCGAAAAGGATTGAGATCTCCGGATCGTCTAGTTGAACTCTATAGCTTGATTCACGAGAATCTTTTTTTCGCCTCTTCGCGGTTGGATGGATAATCGTAAAGCCATCGCTGCGATACTTGGAAAAATTAATTTCTTATCTAATTGATTATTTTAAATAGCAACATTTCTATTATTATTTATGAATGGAATTTTTATTTAATTATTTTCATATTGATACGGCTTGCACATTCGATTTTTCTTAAATACACATGTACAATAAGAAGCTATCCAATGGACAGGATCAATTAATTTAAGTGGGTATTATTCACTATTCAAAGACTACCCATGTTGCAATGTTTTTATATCTTTTTAAGTTGCGGGCAAATTATCATTATCGAAACATGTGTACCACATAAGTGTATAATTACCTTATCTTCATGGGAAGACATTTTATCTTGGCAGTTTACGTGTGAATTTTTTCTTCTTTTTGTTCTGTTTTCAAGATATGCAGACTCGATGTAAAATTTCTCCGAAATATCAACCCAGGAACTATCACTTCGGAATCGTTTTTTCTCCTTAGAAACGTTACTCGCACTTCCCCAATAGAATATCCAATGGCATTTATACCGCAACTATTCTAATGAAGGCTCTTCCTTTTCATTCCTTTTTTGCCGTTCTTTGTTGAACCTAGGATCGGGACGAGGTAAATTTTCAATGTTTTACTAAAAATCCAGCTTGAAAATCTTTTTTATACTGTGGCTATTTGAACTTGATGTGGAATCGAGCTCTTCCGGACTAATAGATTCTACTTGCCCAGATATCGTGAATAATCGAGTGACGTGATGTGGCATTAAGTAGCGTAGAGAATTGCACTTTAATCAATGACTATTTTCGATTTCTTACTCTAAATCTATGCTTTGGCTATAATGATGCTGATTCGATGTCGAAAGTGTCCGATTAAATTTGAAAGAAAAATATTTCTCATACTATTCATTTCTTTACAGTTCTTAATGTTCAAATGCGAGTATAAGTAGTATTTGGAAAAAAAAAACATTATAATCGTTTTGGAATTTACTTTTAGATGGAACATGTGATATATAAATATGTAAATAAATGTATGATTTTAAAAAAATTAACAAAATTGTCATTTTACAATGCTTTTTCGTCTTCTCACTCGTTTTTGAAATTAAAAATTCAAATAAAACTCTTAAAAGTTATAAATGTTAACATGTAGTGTTAAACTAACACGTGTGATGTATCATGCACACACACATTCACATTCTCGCGCACGTTGTATTGAAAGTTCTTTTAGAACTTTTTCAGATCGAATCCAGCGGCGTTAGACCCATTGCCGGGGGGGCTTGAAACTTCGGCGCCGAATCCGCAAGTAAAAGCTGCGGCATGGTTTCGAGGGCTTTCGTGGCCGAGTATCGCCGAAGAAAACTTTGCAATTCCATCACCTCAATCCAGTAATCGACCAAATTATTCGGATTTCTTTCGAAAGCCTGCGAGCTACTTTGAGTACAAAATAGATATACGTATACAATAATACGTGGACCTTATCGAGTACATGCTGCATAAAACTATTTGGAAATTTCGAGCGCGATGAAAAAAAATTTTTTTTATTGTAAAAAATAAAACAAAATAGCGAGTGATCATGAGTAAAAAATGTGGACGAAATATTTTCATCAAAATGTCACGCTCTCGGTGCGCGTGGCATGCGCTTGATACGTCCGTGTAAAAGTGCGTAAGCACACAAGCGCGCAGCTCGCTTGGATTCAATAAAAAAATGCCGCCGTGCCCCACGAGTATGTATACACAGATTTTCCGTATACATACGCATTATGCGTACTTGAATAAGCGCGCCTGTAGAAACTTTTGTACGTATGCACAAAGAAAAGCTCGCGGCAGCCTACTATACATACTGGCCAAAAAGATATACGCGAGCTTGTGTGACTGCACACACGTGACGTTCCATTTGATTCTGCAACAGCTCGAAAGCGCAAATTTGGCGTAAAAGGGGTTGCTCCTGGGCGTAAGTAAGCGAAATTGATAACAATAGTATAAGGGCTAGCGTATAAAGCAAAGTCCCTATTACGCTATGTTTACATTTTGAGTTATTGCAGAATTACATACTCGACGCGTCAAAGCGAGCTTGAATCGGGATGAATGCGAAAGCGCCCGGCATACGTAATGCTATGCACGATACTCGACACAGAATCCCTATGCTGTATGAGCACAACGAGTTCTCTCTGCTCCACTCTCGTATTTTATCATATAAATCGCTGTTCGCATCATATCGCTCATTTGCGCTTCTTCTCTGCGCGTCTATAACAACAGCATCGTATTTGTATAATGACTTGCCTGTCGGCGGAATAATTACGATGGAAAATGGTATATACTGCGCATTGTAAAACGAAATGCGCGACTCGAGTGCCAGCTCGGTGCTATAAGTACATTTTCATAGCGCGACGAGCGCATTCGCGTCGATAAACATATTTCTAGTGCGGTACCACTTTACAGAGAGACTTTTTTCAAACCTTCGCGCCGCGCGTGGTCAATTTCATAATAATCTTTGAAATGCCAATTGGGAGTTTGCTTTTCAAGAGATTGAAGCGTGCGACGTTGAATTACAGGCGGAAATGAGAGGTGGAATCTGACAATGAAATTGTATATCGAAGTAGAAACACAATTTTCAAGTCGGGTTTTTTTATCGTTATGATTGCGATTTTCGATCACTTTCGAAAGACATTTGAATTTGCTAATCTCTCATCATTCTTAACAAAACTATCGTCAAATAAAAATTACAAAAATAAAGAATCAAAATGATACATGGATTACATATTGCATGGAGATATACCATCGAGTTGACAAATGCACCCCCGAATCTCACGTTGCCAATTGATTCGAATTCATTTCCCAAATTTTCCGTGATTATACTTTATTTGACTTTGTTCGCCATGAGTTGGGATATGTAATATCAAAAGGTGCACATAAATACGTCGACGCATCGCGTGATGATTCGTCGTTGCAGGCTCGTGCGCGGTTGTTCAGCAGGGGGGTGTACGCTAGCTTTCGTTTGGCTTCCCTTTATACTTATTACATTTCCCATGAATTCGCGTGAGTATATAGCATTCGTCGCTTGTATGATTTCCAATTTTATTGCCTGCGTGTATTCGTTTTAACGAATAGACTGTTTGAACATTTTGGTAAATTGATAAAATGTTCGAGGTGCAGCCAGAGATTTTAAATAATATATTTGGTCATCGCGTTGGTTGGCTTAAAATCGATTTTTTTTTTGTAAATCTAGCGATTCGTTCACAACAAATTTCTTGTCTATTCAAATTATCAGTGAAAACGTGGATTATAATCATCGTTCATGAGTACTTGGTATTGCGATAAAAGCAGCAGTGAATTTTCGATACCCTTAATCATATTGCAAATGCAATTAAAGTTATTGGTTGCCCGGCCGAAAATGCGCGAAAGCATGATGATCAGACTTTTCGATCAACATGCCTTGCCCATTATTTCCATGTGCTTACGATATGCATCGCTTGTACCACCCGCCTGTACACAGGGGCATAGAGTCAAACTCGTTAAAACGCGAAACCGCAGCTGATTCATCCAAGATAATTAGCGATCGATATGACGTTACCCTTTACAGATAGAAAATGTATTTTTTATTATATATGCAGGATGTACGAATACATCGAAGAGAAATATTAACAAAGGCATGTACTCGCTGACTTAGCGCTCTTTTTTCTTTCTTTGGATTTTTTTTCTTTTCATTTCTTTCACCCTTTGAAATTAGGTATGCGAGTGTACACGAGGGGTCTAGGGTTTCCTCGTATACATACGAAACGCTCGACCGTATTATACGGATCATCATGCGCGTCTAGTTCGGGCATTACGAAGATGGTATTACACACGTGCTGGGCTTGACCGACGTCGAGCTGCAGTATACACTAACGGTACTAATCTTCCTATGCAGCAAAAAAAAAATAAAGGGTGAGGGATTGCATTAATTACCAACGGCAAAGCTCGCGTTTGTCTTGCTTTTCAACGCAACGATCTTTATTTTGCGTTTTTCATTACAACTTGTAACTATTTTTAAATCAAAATTAACTAGAAATATTCAACAGAGGCATTTGTTTATTTTAATTTATGTGACATTAATTATACAATATTGAAGTTTTAAAACTGCTCGCATGTTAGTAACTTAATTCATTTATTGCTTCTTGGGAGTTTCATCAGGGATGTTTTCCAAACCCTGTAAAAAAATGATTAACATTAGTTAATACTATTTAAACAAGTTGTAATATAGATATTTGTTTATATTCGGATTCTTTGAATTTTTTGATAAAAAATATTTTTACAAGAAACTGATATGCAGTTTATATAGGAGGCAAAACACTTTTCATCCCAATCAAAGTACAATTTCATTGTATGTATTAGTTTCATTGATTATTTGAATAATATTTGTACTTGATAAAAGAAAAAGAAGGTTGACCAAACTTTAAACTACTTTCACTATGTAAAAAATCTACTCCTTTATTGCAATTGAATTTGAATGAATTTTTAAAATTTAACAAATAATACCAGCATTCAATTTGAATTTAAATAACTGCTACAAATTATTTACAATTTCTTTAAAATCAACTAATTTAAATTTTTGTGTTTTGAAGATAATAATGAAAACTGATACAAAAATTCATATTTTGACATATCGTAAACTGGGCATACTATTTCAAGAGCATTTACAATATTTGTGTCATTTTAATCTGCACAGCATTGTAATAAAAAAGAATTAAGATCTAATACTTCAGACATTGTAAATAAAACATGAAAATCATTCTATATTGTCAACCTAAATAATAATAATAATAATAATAATAATAATAAGTAAATCATTACCGCAAGGCGCCATGGTACTCCAGAAACTCTTGTGTCTCTCGTCCACATAACACGCTGGAAAACATCGTCAATTTCTCTCCGGTACGGCTAAGAAATGAAAAACGAATTATAAACAATTATGAAATAAGCAGCGCATGAGTTTAATTATTTTCGTAATTATTTCTGGGTAAATGTCAACAGAACACCTAACCTCTGAATATTACGTAAAATGTACTTTTTGGGTACTCACCACGCCCATCAAAAGCTTTGTGACCAACACACTGTTTACTTGATATGTGGTCATCAACACTCCGATAATCAACAACGGTGGAAGGGTCTCGTACCACATGTTTTTTGTTGAAAAACTGCTTTAGAAAATTCTGAAAGGCAGAGAATCACTCTCTTTGACGTTTTACGAGCGAGGATTTGCGCAAGCTCGGCTTAGCAGACAGCACATAACACAATAATATATATAGTTGATTTTTAGCGCCACATTTTGAATCATTGTTAAAGCAAAGTCATTACATTCGTAGATTTTGTATATCAATCATTTTAAACGAAAACAATGTGTTCATTATTAGTCATCAAATAAAAGTAATATTTGTTTTATAAATAAAACGCTGACATGTGTCATTATCACTGTTATTATTTATTCCTACGCTACGATACACATAACCCTAGTTTTGATCGGACGTTGACTTGATGCGACGACACAACGTATTTAATATGCAAAGTTGGATTTTTCCATTAATCAATCATAATGTTGTTACTTTTCTAATCTAAAAGAAATAAAAGTAACAAAAATTAATTAATTGTTCGAGAATTTTCTTCTTCTTTTTCCATTTAGTTCATAAACAAATCGAAAGTTACGATAAAGTGCAAGACGTCACACATGATTTTAAATAGATCAATGACAAGGTACTAGCTTTTAGATTTTATTATTAATAGTTTGTCAATATTAATGATTGTCTTGAATAATTTCATAAAAAACAATTTATGAATCGTGATTTCGTAAAAAAACATTTCAAGAATCATCATTCACAATTTTTCTTTGATTTGTTTCATGTGCTTTAAAACCACTTGTTGAACTTGACAATTTTTGTTCTTTAAATTTTTGAACATGACAGAATGCACGTCAGAATAGTAAATAAAATATACATTAAAGTATATTTCAATTTTTTAAATAATAATATTTTTTTAGTTTTTTATAGATTGAGAGAAAGCAAATAATACTTGAAAGGATGCTTCTACGATTATACTCTTTGATTGTTTTATCCTTGGATGTGTTAACATTGCTCATAGGAATATGGTTTTCCATGCTTTTAGCAATTTATAGGACTTTTAGACCACCAGGATTAAAAAGTGTTCATGGTGAAGTAGCATTGGTAATTATGACAGTTAGCAATAAAATAGGTATCACTATTTGCAAAATAAATTGCACATAATTTTTGTGTTCAGGTTGTTGGAGCTGGAAGAGGTGTAGGTAGAGAAATAGCAATTCAATTAGCTCAATTAGGAGTAAGTGTAGCTTGCGTAGATGTAAATAATGAAAATTGTCAAGCTACTGTCAATAAAGCTTTACAGCTTTCTTGCATAGCAAGAGCTTACATTTGCGATGTAACAAAAGAAAAGCAAATTTCAAATACTATAGAAGCTATAAGGAGAGAATTAGGAGAAGTAACAATGTTATTCCACTGTTGCGGTGTTCCTAGTCCTCGAACTTTGTCTGAAAGTCCTCCAAATATCAGAAGTTTATTGGATACTGCTATATTAAGTCATTTTTTAGTGAGTTGATATTTTTAATATAAAATTTTTCCAATCAAATTAAATTAAAAAGTACTTAAAATGAAATTCAATATTCAAGCTTTTAGATGCAGCTCTTCCTGGAATGCACAAAGTTAGCAAAGGTCATATTGTTGTTTTATCATCAGTTGCTGGATTGTCTGGTGTAACCAACAGACAAACCGTTATTCCTTTATCAACAGCACAATTTGCTGTGCAAGGTTTTGCAGAATCATTACAAGCTAACTTGAGACATTCAAGAAGTAATATTAATATATCATTAATTCATGTTTATCCTTTCATGATTGGTACTGAATCTATTAAAGATATTCGATTTAGGTAAATTGTACACTAAATTATACCAATGAAATTATAAATCTATGATTGCATGCTAATTTTTAATATAATTCAAGGATTCCTAGTTATTTTGGTACTATACATGCTTCTGAAGCTGCTAGAAGAATTTTAGATGGTGTTCGTAGAAATTATTCAGAATTTAGTGTCCCAGGTTATTTATTATACTTGGGTCATATATTAAGGTAAATTTTTTTGTAACATTTTATAATGTGGTATAATTTCTTATTCTTAATTATTATTCCTTTTTGTTTTAGAATATTACCAAAAAAAGCTTCATTTATGTTAAGAGATTTATTGGATACTGGCGTAGATTTTGCATGACATTTTTTATTGAATCAATTTGATTTTTGTCTTATTATGATTTATAGTAAAGTAGTTATTTGTTACGGTTATATTAAGTACATTTAAATAATTTAAAAAATTTATTCATATTTTTATCATACATAATTTACATTATTGTAATATATTACAATACAGATTAAAAAAAATATCATAGGATCGCTTTTGAAAAATGTAATACTTATAATTAATAAATTATAGAATATTTACAAATCTGTGTATATTCTTTACACTGGAGTACATAAATTGATAAATGAATAGACTCGTCTTACATTAAATTGATAACATTGCCATCAATAATAAAGATTCCAAAATAAGTATTTTATAATAATTATAAAATTATATTCTTGTATTATAACAAATACAATACAATAGAAAAAAACAGTTAATCTAAACCAGGTGGTGCTGGTTCTAAATTATCTGTATCTGCTGTTTCAACTCGTTCATTGGGAAAATCACCTGGTGGAGCAATATCAAATTCGTCATGCATTGTAATTTGTGGTTTTCCTTTGATAACATCCATAATCGATTGTGGGATATGTGCCCTTTGATTTTCAGCAATAGAATCCACATGTGCAATAAGTGGAGCTTTCAAATTAGGAGACATATTTAATGCCTCAGATAACTGAGGGGGAGGTAATTGTAGTATAACTGAAAAACTTTGTGGTTGAGTTCTTTCGCAGCATTTCACAAATCCTTCCCATACTTTTGGGAATTTCCAAACTTGTTTAAGTATCAATCGTTGCAAAATATTCATAACAAATCCACTTAGACGTGGATACAATGTTAGACTTTGTATGACAGTCCGCATAAGTAAAGTAGGCAATGGATTCATATCCATGAGCTGTTGCATTACTACTGCTACAATTTCTTGCGTGAATATTTGTTTTTCAGCAAAACAAAGTGACGTAGCTTTTATAATAGTTTTAAGTTCAGCTTTGCTTGGATCAATGGTGTGCAAAGCAATCAGCAGTTCAGCTGGTGTAACAGGGGATGTATGAGGTACTCCACTATCATTGTTATGAGTTCCCAGTAATCTGTTGAATACTTCCTTAACTACAATTGGATTCAGTTTTATAAGTTTCGGTAGAGCTGAAATCACTTCTTTTTTTGTTAAACCATTAAGAACTGGAATGAGAAATCTAACATCTGAGACTCTCGTTTGATATAATTCACGAACTCTTGCGACCAACTCGGCACTTGGAGTGGCCTTCTCCGTGAGTATATGGATAATTCTCGTAATGAGAGTCTCTGCTCCTTTTGGACAGGTTTCCACGAGTTCGAGCAATTGAGGACTGGCCATCCCTAAATTTTTTACTGGTCCTTCGACCAATCTTAATACAACTCTTTTAACTTCGGCAGTCATAGATGAATAGACACGAGAAAGTTCATGAATAAGACTTTGATGTTCGCTCAAAAGAGCTAAATAGAGACCTAAACATGCCCTAGTCGTAGATTCGGACCAAGTTTCTTCTAGATTTGGTCTTCCTCGATCGGATCCAAAAACTATTTCAGGTGGATTAGGGTTGCTCAAGAACCCGAGGTAAAGCACGGCATATTCCCCGATCATTTTAGCCAATTCTGGATACGCGTTCAATTCAACAACTAATTTGATGGCATTTTCTCGAATTGTAGAATTTTCATGTCCTGTATGACAAAGTAAAACATTTAAAAAAACAAGCTGCTTTGTTGGTCTTCTAATAACTAATTCTTTTAGTAAGTGTAATGGTGCTAAGCCCCTTGTTTCGTCTGATGAAATTGTTTTTAATGCTTCCACTGCATCTTCAGTTATCAATGGAGCTTCTAGATAAACCCTGGACAAGAGAGAATCGCGATCTTTTCCATAAACGTTTTGGATTGAAGTAACTAATGTTATAAGCAGGTAATTGTAAGCTTGGTGAGGTGCTTCTGGTGTCATAGAACAAAGAATTGTACGCCGTTGAAAACCTTGAAGTAAAGCATACTCTTCATAAAGCCAACTAAAAGCTAGTTCTATTCTAGATCTTATATCTTCAGTTATATGATTTATGATTGCCTCTTTTACATATGGATTGAAAGTTGCAGCAAGTGTTGTAAGAATTTTTATCCTCACATTGGCAACACCTCCTAGAATCACACTTTTTTCAGTAGCTAAAATTCTATTGACAGCCATTAATAACATTTTATCTCTGGCTTCTTTTGCCATTGGCTTTGTTACTTCCGAGAGTTTTAGTGATTTCAATCTACTTCTAGCCTTGGCTAAAGATTTTTCATGAGTTTCTAGGGCCATTTTGGCTTGCTGTTCTTTTTCTCTATCCTTAGCCAGTTTACGTTGACTTTTAACTTCAGCTACACTAATAGATGGATTCTTAATCAAATCTTCCATCAACTCCGTCTTATCTTCTTTTGAATCACTTTTCATTTTTCTTGACCTAGCTTGTTTTATCTGAGATGCAAGCAATTTAGCTACAACTTGACGCTGTTTAGTAATATCTGTTGTTGCAGTTGGTTGATATTCATTGTGAAAGATTTTTGTCATTGTATCTGGTACCCAAGCCATGCTGTCCATAACCAAATCTGTAGCAATTTCAACACTCAACCTTTCTGCAATAAAATTTTCACTTAATTCAACTAATTGAGGCATTTTTGATTCATCTATCATAGCTTCATCTGTTTCCATGGATAAAATTTGAGGTTCTATTCTGGCTTTTTTAGCAGCAGCTAAACTTTCTTGTTTTTCTTGTTGTCGTTTTTTGACTTTTCTTATCTCTTCTTTCTGCGGATAATTTTTATTTATTTCACTATCTTTACATCCAAGAGAAGTTAACTGCTTTGCAATTGTCTGTGCATATTCTATGCTGGCTGGGTGCTTCAAAAGTCCAAGTAATGTTATTTTTAATTGCTTTTGAACACTCGTTACTTGAGAGTCAGATAATGTTGGAGGTAAGTTACTTTGTAATTTTTGAATAGCTTGCACAATATTGGGCATGAATTGTGGGCGATTTTTGGCAATTAAAGCCAATGACCCCATGCAAGTTATGAGATTTACACTACTGACATGTAAAGATCCAAAAAATTTGAGCATAAGGTCCATCACATGATTAGCTTCTTCTTCTAATTTTCTTCTACGAGTAATTTTCAAAGTTAAAGGCACTTCTTCTAATGAAAAATCATCTGGTTTTTTTGGTGCATCAGGATCTGCATAAGTTTGAAGAAGTACAACACCCTCAAGAAATTTCAAAGCTTGTGTTCGAATACTAATTGTAAACATAAAAAATATTTTGATAAATAGTTCAAAATAAGCAATCAATACAGTAATTATAGAAAAATATTTACCCATCATTATCACTATCTATCATATTAATTACTTGAATTTTCAAATTACTGATTAACATCCAAGCATTTTCCATTTCAGTTGTAACAACAGACTCCGAAGCAATCCATTTAAGCGTAGCTCTGAGGATTTTGCTACCAGCTCTTAAAGCACGCTTTGAAACGATAGGTGCTTCATCACTAATCAGCCTCAACAGCACATTTAAAATTTTAGGAATAACTTCAGGTTGCTTCTCTCTGAGGAAAGATGATATAATTAGTATATGATTAATTTACTTCAAAATGATATATATTGATACATACGCAGCCTCTTCTATAAGTCCTGCTATAGATTGTCTCACTTTTGCATTTCGGTCAAGTGCAAATTGTAAGACTTCTTCAAGATAGTTGTCCAGTAGAAGTGGTTCTTGATTTATAATTATTTCTTGTACTTTTGATAAATTTTCTACTTTGATAGCTTCATCGTTGCTGATTGAAGCTTCATTTAGCCATTCCACAACCTTTAAAAAAATGTTCATGTTAATGGGTACAAATAAATATATTAATAATAAAAATTACTTTGATTCTAATGATTATTGATAAATTATCATATTGTTAAAAATAAACTTTTCTTAATAATTTATGTTATTTATGCTAGTAATTTTTTCTATTTTTTTACGAGTTACATGTAATTTCAATTTCATTTTTCTGAGACTAGATAGAAGTCAATTGACATAATAAAATTATGAATTTTCATGAATAGATAATAAAAATAAGAATAAAAAAATAAGTAGAAAGAAACAGAAAGAGAATAAAATATTTTTCAACGAATAATTCCTAACCTATTTAATTTCAACTTAAATCAGCGTTAATTTTAAGACTTGTAAGTTTTATATAAAAAATTATTTGCTGTTTTACTTACTGTGTCTGAATAACTCCTTTCTGGCTCGGCACGTCGATGAATACGGGGATCCATTTTAATGCAAAATTAAATGTCACAGAAGACGTTTTACTTCACTTATTCTATTGATTGGTTAAAGATTTTGTATCTTATTGCAAAATGTAGAATATTAATCACAATAAATAAAATCACAATCAAATACTAATCATAATAAAAAAACACGAGTGATAATCATGCGTCAGTCAATACTTCGGAACATAGCCTTTTTTGTAAACTATATTGTTTATCCTTTTTGATGGCTAGTAACTAGTGCATAAATTGACTCAGACTGTTCGTAACTTCTTTCTTTACGGGTACCGGCAGTGGGGAGTCTCCCCTGTGCCATACGGGTTACGCGCCTACAGCTGCACTGTAATTCAATCAACTTACGCACACGGCACAGTGTCCCAGTGGTCGGTAAGATGAATTCGGTAATGGAAAGAAAACGAAAATACAGCGAAGTAGGGGCCGCCCGTGTGTATGAGATACACAGCAACAATAACAATAATATCACACCGGCAGGTATACGCATTGCCCTTGATACACTGTTTTCACGTTTTCTGCTCGATAACCGAATTAAACTTTTCTCGCAATTCGCAAGTGCAACAATGTTATTCACAATGCTGTCCTCTTCGGTACATTCATTAGGGTCAATTAATTTATTTGGCGTAAAACTTTGAATTCAAAGATAAGAGTTTATTTGATACCATGCTTGCAATTTGTAAGTAAAATTGAAAAATCTTTTCTTTTTCGATAGTTTATTGTTGAAAATCGAGGAGATAATTATTATTGTAATCGTGAAAATTTCATTAATATTTTGTTTATAAAAATTATAATTTCTAAAATTTAGCTTAATTAAATCATAGACCAAGTTTCTATAAATAAACAATTTTATTGCATTCGATCTTTCTGATCACAAAAATACATCCATTTTTGACTTTTTAATCAAGCATATAATATTTGTAAGTTTGATTTGATTTGTAGTATTTAAAAAAACTTTAATTAATTTATTCATGCCAATATTGATGAACATTATGAAAATTTTTTTTAATTTACCTGAATTTATTTCAACAACGTTGTTAATTTTATGGTAATAATTTAATTTTACTAAATTTAAATTTGGTGATTTAAGTTTTAGTTTATAATCCATTAGTGTCGTGAAGTATAGTTTTTTATATTCTTGATTTTTCTTTTATCCAAAGCTTTGTTTGATATAAAATCAGTTAAATGTATTTCCTTACCTTTTTAAGCGTTTAAACGATCTTTGATCGGTAATTTTTCAAATATCATTCTTAGTCAATCTTCATTATTTCAATTGAAGTAACTTTCTCTGCATTAGGATGTTTTTTTTTCTTATACCCCACACAACTTGAAAATATATTTGAATTCATGTTTACGATAGAGTTATTGCAAGTGAAACTAATTTAATGATAATCTTATAACATATAAAATAGTATACTTAACATTTTGTTGATCAGTAATTTTACAATTATAAACAAAATTTATGTTTTGAGCGATAAGCTCGCTCTGACGGTTGTTAAATCGGAGAACACCAAATTTGGAAATTAGTGATACTTAGGCCATCTGTAAATAATAGTCGAGAAAGAGAAATTATTGAGTTGTTACGACAGCTAAAATTGTTAAATAAATCAAATCAAAATATCCATTAGAATAATTTTTCTCTTTTGAAAATAAAAGTTGTACTAATTTTAATCTTGATCTGTTATTTTCATATTTTAATTATGCTCGGGTTCAGAAAATTCATGATTCAACAGAATGCGAGAATAATTTATTTTAACATTATATTTTAGTTCGAGGTGTCGCAAAAAAATGATTTTTGAACTCGTGCAAGACTTGCGTCTCGATTTCATGACTTTTTAGAAAGAGTTTTATAATTACAAAAAGTTAAAATACTCCTTATTCTCATCACTTCTGTTCTTATTCTAACGCTCAGTAAATACTTGGAAAAATCGATAGAATTGAACTAGTAACTTATTTATTTTTTTATAATAAGAACACCATCTAGATTAATTAAAAATTATTTTGCTTTTTATCTTTACGAAAGATTAAATGATTTTTTGAATTAATTTATTCCTTTTCCAAATAATATGAAGATAACACTGTCTCTCATACATGAAAATTAGAACCAGCTCTATAAGCAAAATAGTGATACCGTAGTAAATAAATATTTCATCGTTTAGAGATTTTTTTTGCATAACGGAAATCTAGTTTAAAACAATGGATTATTCATTTGAATAAATGAAATATTTATTCGAATTCACAACTTGTGTAGATTCAAACAAAAATTCATTCAGTTGAAACGAACTAGTTATCAATTCGTACTACACTAGAGAAATTTTTTTACGGTGACAAGAAAAACGGTATTTCGTGTAACATTAAAATAGAAAATTCATTTTTCATAAAAAATTAACATGTTACTCCATGTACAGTTATTTTAATACGGTCAACTTAAGTTACCACATTTTTCTTTCTGGCGGCCATTTCCGAGATTTCAGACTTGGGTAGTTTTGCCGTATAACTGTAAATACATGGCAATGATTCGACTAGTATTAGCTGTCTTCTGTTTCTGTCAGAGGCACGTTTCACAACATCAAAAGAGCGCATGTATCACATCAACAGATCAGTGCGATCATCATCGCTGCATAGTGCTGGCCAATTAATGTGTATCTTGTTAGTAGTGCATAATCAATGAACAAAATAAAGCAGCATTGAAATTATCAAGAGTGAAAAGGCATTTCACAATTTTCAATTCGTATGACGTGCTTATTTAAACGAAGCGATAAAAGTATCATAAGAGGATAGCTCCGCTGTTTTGCGTTCAATTTTTTTAATTTTTTTAAATATCGTCTTCAAGAATAATCTTGCCAACGGTTCCAACCCGATGAGGGACTTTATCTTTTACTTCTCAAAGTAAGTATAAGTGAGCGCGTAAATACTTTCATTATCATTTTTTTTTCGAGTATTTTCATTATTTGCACTTTTTCACTCATACAGGGTGCAGTATAAGAAATAGTGAATAAGAATGATTTCTGGATTTTATGAGAGGATCGTTGGAACTTCACCTCCACCAGAACCTAATGAACCAAAGATATTGTGCGTCGGTTTGAGTTGTTTAGATATTGTTCAAATCTGTAAAAATTATCCAAAAGAAGATACTGACCAAAGGTTTGTTTAACATTTCACTTTTAAGGTTAATTGTGTTGTTTATATTAAAGTATGATTTCCATCAAAATATTTGTATCGTGAATATTTATTCCATATTCTTTGTCAAAAGAATTCTTAAAAAAATTCTTTCAGATGCATCGATTTGCGATATCAACGGGGTGGAAATGCATCCAATAATTGCACTGTTTTATCAAAGCTCGGCCAACCATGTGAATTTTTAGGAGTTCTTAGCAATGAACAATTTTCTCAATTTCTTCAAGATGACATGCGATCTCACAAGATTGATTTTTCCCATTGCCCAATCATTGAAGATATTGGGTGTCCAAAGTCTGTAGTACTTTTGAGTCTAAGTACTGGTTCACGCACAATCATTCATCACAATCAAAGCAATGTAGAAATCAAATTGCAAGATTTTGAAAAATTAAATTTAGAGGATTACAGTTGGATACATTTTGAAGTATGTCAAAATTATTTTTTTTTATTTTGAGAAAATTATCTTTTTATTCATATTTAAACTATTTTCTTTATTTTATATTTAATATTTATAGGGAAGAAACATATCAGAAGTAATTTTAATGATGCAGCACATAGAAGCGTACAATAAATCTTTGACACAAAAAGAAACTGAAGATTCTAAAGAATCTACCCAACAACCAATTACCATTAGCGTAGAAATAGAAAAAATGAAAGTGGAACTTCTAGATTTATTACCTTATGCAGACATAGCATTTGTATCTAAAGATTTTGCCAAGAGTCGAGGATACACTAATATGAGTGAAACATTAAAATGTGTAAGCAAAGATGCAAAAACAGGGTTAGTTCATTTCTAAACTACTAGATTTGAAGAAAGCATGAAATAAATTAGTATTTTTTTAATATTTTCAGCGTTACTATATTTAGCGCTTGGGCGGATAGAGGAGCAATGGCACGGGCACCTGATGGAACTATTATACAATCACCTGCATATCCTCCCCATAAAATTGTAGATACTCTTGGTGCTGGTGATACATTTAATTCTGCTATTTTATATTATCTTAATAGAGCTAAGCTAAATTCTAAAAGGAACAGTGAAGATACTCAATTGCATGTAAATGATATTCAACAAAACTATAATATCGAAAGTACTGAAAAAAGTCAAACCCATTTTATCAATAGACAAGTCCTTCAAGAGGCAATTTCTTTTGCTTGTAAACTGGCTGGAGCTAAAATTGGAATGCAAGGTTTTGATGGTTTGAATAGAATTTATAAAAACTTCTTGTAATGTAGTTGTTTTAAAATGAAATATTTTAGAAATTTGTTGTTTATTGTATAGTAAATCTACGAAAGTAATAGGTAAACTATGAAAATTTGATTGTAAAATGAGCTTTAAGTTAAGTTATTTAATTTTATTGCTTTTTAAATTTGTTCTCCTAAAATATTTTAACTCGCAGTCAATACTCAAAGTTTTTATATATTTCTATGTAGTTTTAAGAAAAATTTGACTCAATTGAAGATGAAAGTAAATAGAATTCGAGCTATAAAAATAATGAATGTTTATTTTAAATAAGTGAACAAAAAATTGTATTATAGTCATTAACTCCAAAAAGAGGCTTGATCAATTGTGATTTTATTGATACTTAAAAATTATTATAATTTCTTATCATACCAATGCAACTTAAAAAAATTGTGAAAATATAAGACATGACATGACTCTCGAGAAATGTTAACGTAAATATATTATTTTTGTAATAAATCTAAAATTACTTATTGTTGATCATTACAGACTAGCTTTTCCATATCAAAACATTGATAGAAATTACTAACATACCTCAATGGTCGTATCACTTGAAAATTTTCAGAAATCAAAAATAAAATAAAATGTTTATTATGAATAACGTTAAAAAAAGTATACAAACAAACGCTACGTTATATGATATAAATAACATACACGAAGTCAATAAAACAACCGAGAAATACTTAGATCACATAAATTGTAACAATTCCATGAATTTAATGTTATTTAATGGTTGCTTTTCAGTCTTTCAAAGTACTCAAAGCTGTTAATTATCAATTTTAATATTATAGCTTTGCTGTTTGTGTAGCGTCGTTGATTGAAATTACCATTTTTTACATATTATATATTAACTTTGATTGCGCTCAGCAGCTCAGATTCTAACTATTGTCCGCTGCAACCCCGCTGTCTAGAAAATCTTTGACTGCTCGAGGTGCTTTTTCAGGAAAACATCTATTAAAAATAATCTTCAGTTATTTACATATTTAAAAATTATAACTCGTCGTCGATCAATAATGAATGTTGAAACTTAGTTGTTCTTTAATTTATAATTTACTTGGAAAAAGGTTTTTTATGCAATAGTATGACGAAATAGTACTTTACGATACTAGTGGCATAAGTAACACTTTTCGGCCCAGCTATTAGGACGCCGTGCCAAAAAGTGTTACTTATGGCCCTTGTATCGAAAACTACTATTTTAACTTAAGTGAAAGCAAAGCAAAAATTAAAAAAAAATTTTTTGCAGTGCAAATAATGCAAAATCAATGCAAACCTTAAAAAGTAGTTGACTGACAGCCAGTGGCTTGGAATCGATAGTTCCGGTGTGTTTCTGCGTTGTGCTCGTACTATTTGTGCGGCTGCCTCTTTCGGTGAAACGACAGACATTAGGCTCGGGAATCTATGAATGAAATAAAGTATATGATATAGATATATTCTATAAGCTCCAATCAATGTTAAAATAATTAATTATTTGATATTTGGTAATATTTTCATTTTAAACATGTTTGTGTCTCTAGCTCATTTTACGATACTGATTAGTATACTTAAAGATTAAATATGATAATTATTTGTCTGTACCGGCAATCAAAGAAACAATAGCAGATTAAATATACAGAATGAAGACATTAGGAAGAAAGACATGTGATTGCACACCTTGTGTCTAACGTTGTAGTTTATATTACTATATTGTTCCAAATATGAAGATTATTATTTATTGTTGAATCATGTGATATTCTATTAATTGAATGTTATATTATGTTGGAAAAGATATATTAGATGATATTATGTTAAAAAATCTTAATAAATTAATATATTTTTTTGAAAAATAAGTTGATTATAAATATTATTGGTAAAACTTACTTTATCTTTGGCTTCTTGCAAAGTCCGGTGTCTACCATGTAAGGGTAAATAATAGTGAACTGTATGTTCGAATTGGTACCACCGCACGATGTGGCTACCCTCAATTCCTCGCTCAATGCCTCCATCATACCTAGAAGAAAATTAATATCATCAAATGAAATAATTTATCGATTTTCAAAACTCAATGCCCCTGTAATCACCTCGAACAGCAAATTTGGTCGCGCAGTAGGGTACTAAATTGGTCACACCAATGATTCCGGCCATGGATGATAGGGCTACGATATGGCCATGATTTTTGGCCAACATGTCGGGCAGAAATGCTTGCAACATCTGAAAGAAGTCAAATTAATCATTCAATTTCGCTTTATTTTCTAAAGCTAAAGATAATAACGCAATTGGCGCTGCATCTTACCCAAAAGTGCGCCATCACATTGATGTCGAACATCTTTTTGATCTCCTCCGGCGTGTGGTCGAGGAAAGGATGACAGGGCATGATGCCGGCATTGTTCACAAGAATCGTTACGCTGCCGACTTCCTTTTTCACCTCGTCGGCGACGCGCATCACATCCTCTCTCTGCGACACGTCGCATCTGACACGGGTGACAAATATTGAATAACGATCGCGAAGAATAAATTATTTCTATTTTCTCGCTGTAGAAAAAACTCACTTGTATCCATGAGCAGCGGCACCTCCGAGCTTTTTAATCTCGTTGACCGTTTCGGCATTGCTGGTCTCATTGATATCCCAGCAAATCACGGTGGCGCCCAAGGAAGCGTATTTTAAGGCCAACTCCTTTCCAATACCATGACCCGCGCCGGTTACCTGTCCATAACGCGCACAGCAGCGGAGTGTTAACAAATTATCAACGCGCGTAATTTTCGTAATGACGCCTTATAATCATATACACAACATTCGTTCGTGCAGCGTAATATAGAATTGCAGACCTCAATTTTTTGTCTCCCAACTCGTAAGTGACCCGATCTGTCATTCAAAACTCGCGGTGTCTCGGGCGAATGTGTATACTGCACACACATACGCACGAAGGTTGCGCAATACTTTTTGTCCTGCTTTTTCAAATGCGAGTAAAATCGATATTAATGACTCGAGAGTTCTGAGCGCGCGGCAAACTCATCGACGCTCGTAACGCAACATTTTTTAATGTTATAGACGGTGTGTGTGTATAGATGAACGACGCGTTATCCGATACACGAAGAAGACACGGAGCTATAAGTAAATTCGTTCCGAGACTTCTTTTTTCTCCAACCGATGCGCACGTGTATCAAGCGATGTACTCCCCGCATTATCGCGGCACATCCACAGCAAGTGTGCATGCAATATCGGTAAAGTCGATAAATCGAGCTTTTATATATTATTTCTCATTCTCTCTACTCGTATAGGCAATACGAAGTATTTCATATTCACGCGTCGAATGTAAGTATATGCATAATGTATATTAGCTCACCAGTACGATTTCTCCGGCCACGCTCTTCTCGTCTACGGGAAAGAAGAATCGATAGAAGCCCTCGACGACGTAGAAGAACACCTTGAGCAGGAGCACGAACACGTCGGCGATCACGAGAACTCCGTCGTATGCCCTCACCATGATTAAACCTACCGAACGACAAGCACACGTCTTTGTACATTTTCCATTCTGTCCCTGGTACGAGTAAAATGTAATGTTTCTCCCTCTCTTTTCGTTGACTTTTATTATTCAACGTTTGTCAATGATCATACGTTGGACCGAGTTTGTTTTTTTTGTACGCTATCGTGGATGAAAAAAAAGCCTAGCAAGGATAACATAAATTGTACTGAATCGAGACGACGCTAAAGCTGGAAAATTATACAACTTAGAGATGAGGTTGCAAAAACAAACGTAAAACGTGAATATTTTTCTGGACACATCGAGATTGACTTGTCGTTTTCAACGGTTATAATGAATTGAAAATTTACTTTTGTGAATTATGAAAATGATGATATCTCGGAGCTACATGCCTTATAGCTGCTGACATTTTTAAACTTGAATTAACTTGTCTTGTTTCTATTCGTGTCACCGTTTTTTGGATTATTATTTATTCTTAAGAAAACTTGTTCTTATTTCGAATTCTTACCAATGTAAGTACGTTCGTTTGATCCAGTTCCTAGTTCAATTTTCGCTAAACAAGGTTTTGCGTAACTTTCTCGCTATACTCAAATTAGTTGTACTGTTTGTATCGTTATTCACCATTAGCATTGGTATTACATTCCATTTGTTAATAAATAAAACTAATTTGAATTTTCATTCTCAAATTTCTCATGACGAGTGAAATAACTTTTTTTTACTTATCAGCTATTATATTGACTTAAAAATGATTAACAACAAAATGGAAAAAAATGTGTACGAATGTAATAAAAATAACTGATAAAACAAGTAAAATCATGATTGACAAAAAATATAATTATTCATTGCATGGCCGATTGCTTTGAATCATTACTTGTTTGATGTTAAATAAAAATTCAATTGAATGAAGCATTGAAATAATCTACCGTTCGAAGTTCTTTTTTAAAATAAAAGATCCAATTATGACGACTATTTTCATAAAAACAGAAAAACCTTCAAAGCTCATTGAACATAGATTCAAATATTAATGAACATCTTTCATTCAAAAACGATATACTTCGCCAACCATCGTTTTAAAATAATTTTTTGAGCATTAAAGTTAAAATTGTGTAGCAGTTATCTCAAGTCCAAGTTTATCGTGGTCAATGATTCTGTGAATTTTTTTTTAGAGATTTAAGATGGTTGCATTCAAGATTATTAAAAAAGCGTATTCACTGAAACAGCTAGTTATGTATACCGATGTAATATATATGTATATAGTTTACACAGTGACTATTATCGAAAGCTAACCGAGAGCAAATACGTCCTTATCTGCGCGTTTTTTCTGCTCGCACGCTTCGACAAGTAACCTCAGTTATTTCCATAGGTGATTAGTGTTCGCATAATTTAAAAATGAGTGAGAATAAGTTACATGAAATCAGTGATGAATCGTCGAAAATTTTTTATATTTCTTTTAATCTAATTGCGAATGATCAGTTTATTTAGATTTGCAACCAACGTATTCAAAGCCAGTGAAGTTATAATTGTCCCTCAATTGCTTTAAAAAATCCATTAAATTAAGTATCTTTGCAAATATAAATATATGATTAAACGCTTGCAATTGCGTTTTTATTTCAATTATCCATCAGAAGTTGGTAGAAAGGTTTCGTGACACATTTCAGATAAAAGCGAGAACACGCGATAACAATAGCTTAGATCAGGATTAAAATTTTGATGATCGATTGCTGCTGGTGATAATAATGTAAAACAATAAAATTGTTAGTCAAGAATTGTTATTATTAAAATTTATATTATTACAATTCATTTTACTCTATATCAGTTTAAGTGAAATGGTGGCTTAACTCGGAAAAAATAATTTACAATTAATGCACTTGGATTACTTGGTGCTCGAATTCCCTTGCAGCTTCTTTCATTAATACTTTCAAAAATAGTTTATTTTCTCAATCATGATTATTAACTTCTACGTTATTAGAAAATCATAAAATTGGATATAAATTTGAAATTTTATTAAATAATCTAGAGATGAAGCTATTTTGCATGTGTAATTCATATTAGGTAGGTTGAATTAAACTTATTTTTCACAATAAATCGTGTGTTTTTCTATGTAGATGTTTTCTCCTTTTTTCATAATATATGCAGAAAAATTGTAAATTATCGTTCATAAAACTTAAATAAAACGAAATGACTTTTTCTTTGAACAGATTATTTGCCAGTATTATGACTTCAATGAAACTTATTCTCACATACTCAATGTAGCTCAACAATGAAAATAAGTGTGAAAAATAAAGTTTGAAATTTGCTAAACACAATCGGGCATAACGACTACCGCAAACATATGCACGCTCAATCGTATATACTTTCGATTGTATACTGCGGAACTGAATTGGAACCTATTAACAAACTATATTTGTAGCATGCGACACAACACGAGCCTCATAATAAAATTTTTTTCTTTTGCAGTACATTGAACTCGAGTATTAGTACTTAATAGCATGTGAAAATTTAACAAAAACATCATGAACATTTGAAATAATTAATACATTAATTGTATTGTTACGAGGGTTTTAATTTGTTATTGCCACCGAGTAAGATTAGAGGTTTCTTTGAATCAGTACAAATTATCGTTCAAAAATGATAACTAAATAGTAAATAATAATAACTCATGCAAGAGTGGACTGAAAGTAGATTTTGTATGGAAAACATTAATTTTTATCCAAATTTTGAAACTCTATGGTTGCAACAAATTCGACGCTTTCTCTGCAATAAAAATTGTTAATTGGAAGCCTTAAATGATTTCAGCGACGTTTTTACCAAGAACTGTACTTGATGTTGCAGTAACAACATTACAGTAACAGAGTTAATTTGAATCATTATAGCAGAAAAGATGAGTCAATTTAGACTAAAAGATGCTTGTAATTGAAACTTACAACAATAGACAAATTAGCACTACTCGTTTATAACGAAAAATAAAAACTAATTGAGTATCTTTCGCATATAATCAATACTCACTTTATATAGGTATAATTTGCAAAATGTATGTGAATGACCGATGATTATGAGTTATATTATTAAAGTTAAATTATTCCGATCGACTTACCGATTCAAAATCGTTGGTTTAATCTAACAATGAATTAGAAAACTGTCACAGTAGAAATGAGAATTTTTTCAGAATAAAACAAGTTCATAAAACAAATATATGTGCGAAAACGTATAAGTGTATATATTTTAACGTGTGGCTCAATTGACTGCCGAGTTGCGACTGATGCACGCCACAGTGTGGTCGGGTAATATATAATACCGACTAAGCACACGTACATACACTTACATATAATACCGGCAACGTGCACTTGGCGGTTTAAAGAAAAAAAACGCCATTCAAATCTTTGTTAATAGAGTCACAGACCTGTGCCTTTATCAACGATCTTGACTGTGTGCTTGTGATTAACTCGTGCCTAATTAATTACTGCTTCCAATTATTGGTAATCGAACAATTAAAAATTATCAGGAAATTTTCTCTCGACAGTGTTGTGAGATACACAATTTTACTGCTAAACTATAATTAGCAAATCATTTTCAGCAAAAATCTTAAAGTCTCTTTACTTTTTATTTCGAAATTACTTTTGAAATTACATAAACGTGATATTTAAAAACTACTGAACCTATTTTTACGAAGTTTTCTACATCATCTTTTACATTTAAAATATCCTTTATTTTAACATCAAAACCTCATTAGAAGTGACTTTTTCATAAAAACCCGACATTTTCTTTGAAAATAATCATAAAAATGTGAAATAAAATTTTTTTAAACGTCTTTGTATTGAAAATTCTAATGAATTTACTTAAGGCTCCTCTATACAGAGGGAGAAATACCGACATACCGATATTATTTTGTACCCATTTTTTTTATTCTCTAGACAACCGTTGAAATTGAAACTTCGTGGGAGTGATTATGAAACTTATTAAAATGTGCCTCTGGGGCCAGTTTTCAATAAAATGTTTAATAAAATCATTTTATGCAATAGTATGACGAAAAATGTCTTTTTTCGCACATTTTTTAGTGCGCAAAAGGCGTTTTTGGACACTTGTGTGCGGTAAAATGCCTCATTTTGGACACGGGTGTGCGGTAAAACGCCTCATTTAAATGAACGTATTTTTCGCCTACTATTGCATAAAATTTAGTATGCAACACGTGCCCAGCTTTTTGTGCACAGTGTGCGGAAAAAACACCCACTCGTGCCGGCATGGCCGGCACTCGTGTCTTTTTCCGCACACTCGTGCCCAAAAACGCCTTTTGGGCACTTGTTACATAAATAACTATTAACTAATTTTTTGAGAATACGTTACTTTTGAGATTATAAAAGGGGGATAATAGAAAATCAAGTTTGTTTGAAAGTACCGGTCATTTAATTGAAAAACTGGCTCCAGAGGCACATTTTTATAAGTTTCATAATCACTCTCACGAAATTTCAAGTTCGATGGTTGCCCAGAGAATAAAAAAAATGGGTACAAAATAATTACGTACTTGTTATCGACTGAGTGTGTATAGAGGGCCCTTAAACCACAACGTGAAAAAGTTGGAAGAAAGCATGAGCTTGACCTTCTTCCTTTGTTGTTTTGAGCCGAAAAATATTAAACTATATTGATTTTAAAATTTTTATTGGAAATTGAAATATAATTTTTAAAAAAAGTAGTAAATGATCACACTTAAATTTCAATATGATCGTCAACATGGTTAAATCGAATGCACTCATCAAACGTTGACCAACGAAAGTATAAAAGTTTGTTACAAATTTCTAAAAAGTTATTTTTTGTCTTTTGCACAATATCATGCATAAACTTTCGATCAATTAATTGTAAAAAATAGTTTATACGTGTGTAAATTATTTACGATTGTTGATATTCGAATCGAATATTCTTGCTTTTTTAAGATATAATTTATTTTGACACAATATTGCTATTTCAAAGAAACGCATTGCGACGATTTGCATTATCATCTCTTTCAGCGATTAAAGTATCGCTCATAAAGTTTAGATTATTTTTATTCATAAATTTCTACGTGCAGTTTCGTCAGAAAATTAATTATTATTCGTCATTCGATAAAAGTAAAAACTGCAATGGAAACGATGATTGTCCAATAGATAAAGTGAATTGTCACGATCGAAGGATTATATTGAGGGAAATTTATTGTAGAAATAGATTTTAACTGATTGAATAAAAATTTACTATTTAACGAAATCAAGTGAAAAAACGACGACTGAGACGTTGACGATTTTTTCCGATGATTGGATTTGTAAACGAACTCTCTCACTTTAAAATATAACGAGGTTTTATGGAAGGTCGAGAGAAGCGTTTTCAAGGCGAAAGTCGCGAGTGCGCGAAAACCTGAAAGTCTTGGCTGTATATTCACTTCTGTACTGCGTCCATACGCATCCAAAGTAAACACAACTCTAGGCACGGACTGCTCGCAAGAGATCTTATACGAAAACTCACTCATGTTATTGTTGATTCGCATTATCGGCCGTGGTCGCTGTTGATGCTGCACGAGCTACGACATCGATGTCGAAGGTCTCAAAATTACGGAAATTCAGCCTGCAGCTTCGGTTCAAATTGTTTCGAGTTTCGCTGTGAAATTTTTTTCCCTCGCTTGTCGCTCGAGCACTGAACTTGGATAAAATCCTCGAACGCGCGCCGGTGGCACGAGACACACGCGAACTGCAACAGATCAGACTTGCAGCCTCTCGTGCAGAACGTTTGCACGAGTGTGAGTATGTTCCCGCGAGGCCTCTCTTGCGCAATCACTTTCATTTGCGTTGGATAGACGCACATACACGCGTTAAATTCGCAACTTATTTTGCGTACATAAATGCGCCTCGTGACTTTGACAAGTTTAATAATGCATTTCAGACAAATAGAAATAATCGATGGGTATTCTTAACTTGATGGTGTTTCGTTGCAATAATGATTAAAGGAAAAAACATCTTGTTCGCAAAGACAATCATTATTCAAAAAGTTAATTACCAAATCAACGCCTTTTACCGAACCTACGTAATTTATTATTAACAGGCTTTCCTAAGTCAGGGATGAAAAATGAAGATCGTATTATTTTATTTTTTATTATAAATTATTATATTTAATTTAAAAAATAATAAAATACCATATCGAAGTATCACATGTAATAGTTGATGAATATGGCCTTACGGAAAAATTTAAATTGTTTATGCCTACTCATATACTGCTTTAAGAAAATAGAGTAATATTAAAAAAAGTTCGATTATTTATTAATAAATAACAGAGCCAATAGTAGTACTTGACATTATCTCATCATTTGTGATATCAAAACCGAAGCTATCATAAAAAAATATAATTTTGAAAAAAATTAACAAGCTTTCGAATGATATAATAACGTGAGAGCGTTGGTGAATATTGAAAAAAAACCTAATTTTTTTCAATTTTAACGAGAGGCATGTATGAGTACTTTACAATGCATCAGTATTTATGTGACTGTAAGGCATAACGCATCGATCAACTGGAGAAAGACTTTGCAGCGCTTCAGTCAATGGCAAAGAATAATAGACGTCTTACCGCTCTGTGGTACTGCAGATGTTTCATGGTATATAGTTTACAGCTAGGTACACTTTGTCAATGATGTAACTATACAAGTTTAAGAAGATACCGATCACGGAGCAAAGAAAACAACTACTTTTCTGGTAAATATTTATTCTTCAGAGTTAATTTCAAAATCGACTCATTCAGCCGAGAATAGTTTTAACATTGTTTTATCTTAATCTGACCTATTATGGTTATGCATCAATTAAACGAATATTTGGTAATTGTATTGATTGCTCGATCAATCTTGACTAGTTCAATCGTAATCGATCGTTGTTGGAGAGCTTCAAAGGCTTTTTAATCATATATTATAGTCTCGAGAAAGTACTAGTGGTTGCAAGGTAAAAAGTACATAAATGCAATATGAAAAAAGATGTAATGATTTTCTTGCAAGGGAATGGGCCCCAATACTTCTCGCCTCGTCGACGCTTTTACGATGTAATGTGACGCAATTCCTTAAGTATTGTTTTAAGAATCCTATTAAGTTCGTTAACTCCGTTTGGCAAGAAAACAATGATTGATGTACTTGAGGATCACGACTTTAATTTAAACAAATATATTCAAGGTTCTCTTGGTTATTTTTCCTCGTTGTGTTTTTTATATTTATTTGCATGAATGCATTAGTCCTGATCAGAGATTCATACTAGTGGCAACGCCAGTTTTAAGGGTTTGATATTTATCGAACAACTAAAGAGATTCTATATTATAAATAAATTTAAAAAATAATATTTATTTTGATATTATTAAGTCCGGTGCGGCTCTTTTGTTTTGTTTTACATCTAAATTCATTTAGATGCAGTTGAATGCACTTTAGGTGCACTTTATTGTAGAAATGCTAAAATGGTTGTGTTTTAGTAAGAAAAAATACAAAACAACTCGCATCTGGGCTGCCGCTACGACTAGGTTTGTGGTCTTTTGTCCAAATTGGCATGTAGTAATTACCTATCGAAATGCAGGGAACTTTTTTTTCTAGGTACATTTCGATACTTTTTACGTAAATTAGAAACTGAGTGATTTCGCTTAAGGAGGTTCGATAGCACTTTCAAGGGGCAGGCGGGGCGAGGGGGTCGCCTATGATTATACACGTGCACGAGAGAATGATAACAACTCATGGGAACAAAATATTATGAGCAAAAATTTTCTTTACAAGATGAATAATAACAATCAAATATTCTTGAGGCTATATTATTTTTTTATTTGTTGTTTATTCAAATATTTTTTTTCACAATAATGAAAATAAACAAATTATAGGATTTAAGTTATAAATTAGAACACAGAATACTTATTTTCTAATACTTAATTGTATTACAATTTGTACTTTGGAACAATTAATTCTCCGTTTGCAGTTTCTACGAAATTACATTCAGGAATCTGAAGCATTTCTTTTATATTTACAAAAATTAGTTTGTCCGTACTTGGACGTACACGATAAGCATAAAAATGCTCATCAAAAGTTATTTCTTCATATTGTTCAAAATATAATATAAAATCATCATCAATATTAATAATTTTTATAATTTTCCCAAAATTTAATAAAATTGATTGACTCGAAGAACAATCTAGAACAATAAAAGACCCTAATTTAAATGTATCTGCGTCTACTTCAATTTTAGTATAGAACTTAACATTCTTAGCAAATTCAAATTCAACAAATTTTTCCTCCCGATCACATGAAAAAAGTTTAATCGTTGGTTTGACCTGAAAATCATGCTTAAATTCTAACATGCTTAAAGTTTGTTTGATGGCAACAGTAGATAAAATATTTCTTTTGTTAGAAGTCGACTGCACATTTTTTTATTCTTACATTCAAACCTTCAAATCTCATACTCCAAAAATTAACTATAGTTCCACAAGAACGCATAAATAAAGGGTAAATAACATTTCGGCTGTAAAGTTTTACAAATTTCAAAATAAAGTTCATTGTGAAGTTCAATTTTTAATTCTAAGCTTCGGATCAAAGATTCTGTTATTCTTAGCGACATAACAATGTCTACGATATTTCGCATATAAATGAACAGTTGCCAATCTTGAGTCCCAGTCTATGCAACACAAATCTCAATCAACCGTCACACTCATTTTTGCAGACACCTACCACCTCTAAACTTTCACGTTACAGCACACCTAACTTGATAAAAGCTGAGGTACCTGAATTAATAGAGTCCTTTTTGGAAGACTTCAAATTAGAATTAAGTACATTAGCAGAGGGGGAGGAAATAGATAAAAAGGAAATAGAAGCATCTATTGTCGGAAAAAAACGGTTACAATAATAGAGGTGGGTACAACAATAACCGCAACAGTTTGTAACGGTTCCCGCGACCGCTACAATGTTCGTAGAGAAATCCTAGGTGATGCGCGTCCTCGCGCTGATCGCCGGCTAGCTCAGTTATTCGGTGCGCCAATTCGCACCGACCGCGGCGGCGTCGTGGTCCAACCTAGGATGGAAATAACGGGAAGGTTTTGCCGAAATAATAATTCGCGAATTAATATTATAATTAAGAAATGAATTATTATTAAGTTCAAGTTCTGGATCGATAATACAGCGCACGCAGCAGCGCAACCGCGATCACACACTCTTCCATACAGGACGCGATTGCACACGCATTGAGAGGGCTTGGTACTCGAGAGGTACTTACATTAGTTGCGCACGCCCTGGCCGTCGCTGGCCGCTTGTCGTCGCCTTGGTCAAGGATGGCCCCTCGTCCTATTGGTGCTGCTGCACTCACGCGCGCGATACGCAGAATCGGGCGGCAATCCGTTGCCGCGTACAAAATGAACCACGTGGAGATCCGGAACGCGACACCGCCTCACGTGTCCCGACAATCAAGCCCGTCCGAAGGCGTACACGCGAGTCCAAGTCGTCCGTACCGCACGCACCCGCGACATTCGGCGCTACTCGTTCACGCTAGTCCGGGTCGTGCCTCAGGGTACACGCACTTGCGACGTACGGCGCGATCAACTTACGCCCGACGCGACTTCTCGCGATTTCGGGACCACGTCGATGTGGTCGTCTCAGCGTCCGAAAACGATCTCGCCGCGCTGCTCACAATCGCGCGGCTCGCAGGAGCGAATCGATCACGTGACCAATTCGTCACCCCTGCTCCAAAATATGCTATGGCATCATGCGGTTCGCGACACGCCGAATCCTCACTCACACATATTCGCACACACATGCGTCTCGCTGCCACTGCTGCGTGGAAAAACATAGTCAAAATGGTATTTTTCATAATAGTCTGGCTGAGGTGGCGAGAGAGCTGTGACGGCGTAACGCAACCGTCACAAGTTATAACAATAGGAATAGGCAAAATAACAATAGATACACCAATAATAGTGGCTATAACAATAATAATTACGGCACGGAAAATAGACATTATGAAATTGACGACCGAGAGGAAACACCCCGTAAGTGTTATAATTGTGGTATGATCGGCCACATTGCAAGATATTGCAATTCGGGAAACGAGTCAAATCGCCATTCGTCAGGCCAGGAAGGTCGAGAGAATAGAGGCCCCGAGGAGTACAACCAATATTAAATGAAGAAATATTTTATATTCGTGCCTCAAAATCCTCACCGACCAATTATGTAACCACAGAAGAATTAGAAAACGAGACTAAATTAATGCTCGACACCAGAGCAGCAGTAAGCGTGATTAAATATTGCAATTTATCTAAGAAAGCAAAAATAAATTACGACAAGACAGTACTGTTTAAAGAAATTACGGAAAAAACGATTAAAACAATTGGTGAAACGTGCGTTTGCATTAAAAACATACCGCCCGTAAAATTTCAAGTAGTAAGTAATCATTTCCCTATTAAACAAGGAGGAATTTAACTACGACTACGAACGCCAATTAATGATACTAGAAAATTGTACAATCGATGAATTTTCTTCCCAGCAAATAAGCCTTAAACTTTGTTACCGTAAATAGAACTGCCAATGCCTCTTTTCAATATACATCGTATGTTATGTTCAACATCTGTGAGGGCTCGTGAAACATAATCTATTGGCAGCTCGATTTTCCTTTTCATTTGCGCGAGATATCCACCAATGGCTGTCTGCGAGGCATCTGATATGACGATGTACTCTAGGTTTGGATTCGCTACCTGTAGTATGGGTTCCTTACATAATTTTTCCTTTAG